GTGGGGCTCCCGGGAGCGCCTGTCGACATGCGGTGGCCACGGGTTGTTTGCCATTTGGCGGTTGCTTCGGATCCACGTTGATCATTCCCTATTCTTCCCCGCATCCTTTTTTCATACATGACCCCAATCTCCAGGAGTTAAATGAAAAGGTTGGTCCCTGTAAAGAACGGAGAGGTTAAAGTTACAAGAAGTGTTTCCATCACTTTTACTCAATTATCACGATGACATTTATGGCCCAGAGGTTCATGAGTTAGGTACTCATGTTGCAAGGTACAACATCAATGGCATGTCCGCATGTCATTGCTTTTGGCTCAAGACAAAAAGGCGCGCTTCGCGCGCGTGTGCCAAAGGTTAAGGGAGAGGTCGCAGTCACGGCGGAGTCTCTGTGGCAGGGGCAGCTGTTGGGCGGATTTCGTATAACGGAGTCCACCCAGCAGGCAAAAGGGTTTGGGCGGCAAGCGGTTTGCCGTGGAGACTGTAGCCAGAGAGCGCCTCTCTCTGCCCGCAGCTTCCAGAATTACCATGATGCTTGACGTGGCACGTTCACGCACAGCTCGAAGACCTGTGTGCGAATTGCTCCCTCGTTCCTTTTAAGGTCCCGGGTTCCCCCGTTGTTGCGAAAACTGTGTTTCCCTCTCCTTTGAGTGGTTATCAGCCGTAACGCTTTTCGGGTAAACAAACCCTTCCGTGACTGTGACCGTTTCGGTCGCACATGGAAGTCGGCCCTCACCGCGGTGTGCGTGGTGGCAAGGGGCCGCGTGCTCGGTTATTCAACACCTTGCAACAGATCATCGTTGACGAGTGTAAGAAGCAGGACAGGCGCTTCCGGTGGGTCAAGTTTTAAGAGGCCTCAAGGCAACAGATTGAGGCCCGCTTTGACTGGCGCGAGACACTGGATAATTGGCACCTTTGGTCCTTCGACCCTGAAGCTTGGGAAGTCATCCAGGCCGCGGACAACGCTTATCAGCAGCGTCTAGCATCGGTTGAAACCGCGGGTGCGGTAGTGCCACAGGGCGATCAGGCACAGGATAGAGCCGCAGCCTCTGGCACGGCGGGAGTGACAAGCAGAGTCGAGGATTGGTTGCGACCCCCTCGCCTCCGGCCACTCCATCCTGGCCTCAAGATCATCCTCGCGATCCGCTTCCTCGTCATCGGCCATCTGCAGAGGAGAAGCAAGTGTTGCGAGGTGCTGCCAAAACTGCACTTCGCGGGGTATACGCTAAAGCCGCGGAAGCGCGGCAGGACAGCAGCCGGGAACGATCGCCTCTTCAGAGATCAAGGCCTCCTTCATCTCCAAGGCAAGAACCGGCTTCCGTCCCTGTGGGGCATCGGGCACAGAGTGTTGAACTCGCGCTTGCGCCCGGGAGAGCAGGCCATCAAGGACATCTCTTGCAACACGCCCTATTGTATTGGCTCCACAGAACAGTATTTACCCCGTGACACGCTTCGACGAGCACGGCGCTTGGGTACTCGTTCGAGAGGCTTCGCAGCCACGTGAGGCGACGTCTCACCGCCGGGCAAAGCGGACATCCCGACATCTCCGTCAGGCGAGACGTGGAGAGATCTGCCAAGAAGATCATCCACAAGCTCGCGATCACGATCTCCAGATCGACGCCCAGGACCAGCGGAGCACTATCGCCTCGACGCCTACAGCTCAGACGAGGAGTGCGTTCTCAACTGCCCTTGAAAAGCCGAAGGACAGACTTATTCACACCCCTGGTCGTACCCATAACCGCATCAGGTCTCCAAGGTTTGTAGCCTCTGGTCGATAGGAAAAAGTAGCCTGCGCAGGACGCGGAATCTCTCCGAACGGGCAGGTCGGCTTACGTGCCTCGGCGCGTATACGAGGCACCGGCACATACTGAGCCTATTGCTTTGCATAGCAGGAGGATAGGAACAACAGAGCAGCCACCGACAAAGGCCGCGCCAAAGATCATTTTTGGCAGCAAGCCTCCATTGCCCAAGGAACTTCCTCGTGCAGCTCCTTCGGTTCCGGCAAAAGCAGTTATCCCTACAAAATCCCCTCCTCGAGCAAGGTCTCCTACCAGGACTCAGAGTGCATTCGGATACAAAGCGCCTCCGCGCGGTCTGAACAAGGCCGAACCCAGAAGCAAGTCCGGTTCAAACCCACCACAAGGGTACATCGTCAAGCAGCCGCCGCCCCAGGTCGTTAAAACAGCTGCTACAAGCGCTGCGACTTCCAAGGCCAGCCCACGCTTTGATCGCCACCGAGAAGGTCGCCGCCAGTTCCACCGCCGCCTGTGCGGCCCGCGCCACCCAAGCGCTTGACAATTGCTCTGGATTGGCACGGGGTATTGGACGTCGAACAACAAGGTCCTTATCTCAACCCGGAGATCATCGAGCACCTTGTGAGGTTCACTCAGGAATACGCTTGTCATTTGTCGGTCGAGCAGCCAGTGAACAGCGACGTCGTGAATTTCAGGTTGCGTTGGAACACGCAAGGACGGCAGGGCTCCAGTTCTCTCAGATCAAGATCGTCCACGAGAAGCTGGGCCGAGGTGGAAAAGCGGACGCCCTCCAAGGCCTGGGAGTCCACGTTCTCGTGGACGACCAATCTGCCATCGTCCGCGAAGCACAGAAAACCGGCTGTGCTGCCTTTCGCAATTTTCCCCGTTTTGGACCAAGCGGATTCGCCAACGCGCTTGAAAGTATTGGAGAATTCATCGAGTCCAGGAATCGCAATTTCATTCCGGCGGCGAGTGGCCTACACCCTTCGAACTATCTCGAGGAGCTCCATCGTTCTGCATCCCGACTGCCCCGCAGTCGGGTCCTTCGATAGCCTTTCTTTGCAAGCCGTTAAAACCGTCACGTTGCGCGGTACAGCATCTTTGCAGCTACAGGCACTCGATTTGCAGACTTTTCACTAGCAGCTTGGTGACATCCCTTGATAGAGCACCAGAGTGCGGGATTGCGAACAAATCAACACACAAGTACAAGTACAAGTACAGAATTCAACAGGTGCATAGCAGCAGGGCGACTTTTCTTGAGTGGTACACTTGAGCGCTTCGCAACCAGCTGCCAATCCCGGGCGTTCCCCACGTAGCACCTTTTGACACGCTGCTCAAAGCGCGTGGAGCTGGCTTCGTGTGTGTGCAAAATTGCGTTGCTGCGCCATGACTTCGACAGGTTTATCCCCGCCCTCAGAGCCCCGTTCAAGGTCAACCCCAAACAGGGATTCAGAGGGTGAAGGTCCTGACCTTGCCATGGTTCCCGCAGCAATGTCCACAATGCGCACTTCCACACCTCAACGTGCCGCCCAAACACGACCATCGCCAAGTGGTCCAGAACCCACATCATCCGAAGGTTTCCCAGCCATCCAGTTTCCTTCTCAGGGCTCCCAACTACCCGACCCGATGCGTGACGTGCCGGCTATTGCTGGAGCTGCGGTGCAGCAAGCTCATCGAGCATCCGACCTCGCTGCTCAGGCAGCCAATCACGCCTTGCACCAACAGCAAGCCGCCGACCAGGCGAGACAAGAGGCCGGATGGGTCAGGGAACAGGCTGTAAGGGAAGTGTCAGACGTTAGGGTTCAATCGGCTCAGCTACCTTCGCAAGCCCAGCAGGCTGTGCAAACAGCACAACTCAAGCTAGACAACTAATCGAGCAGACTCGACAGGAAGCCATTGGCCATGTTGAGAACGCGCGGCAGGTTGTTAATGCTACTCAACAGGACGCTCAGCAGGAGGTTCAACGCATCGTTCAGGAGGCTCAACAGGCAATCTCGCAAAGGGAACAAACAATTGCCAGTCAAGAGCATACCATTCGTGGATTGTCCCAGGAAAATTCTGTGATGCATCAACGACCTGGTGATCTCGAACGTGTTGTTGCAGCCCTCACCCAACAAGCTCGTGCGACCCCTGTTCCGATTCAAGAGTCCCCGCCAAAAGCCGCAACAATAGCCGAAACAGCTACGGGGTCAGGGCGCAATTCCTCCAGGAACCCATCAGCCGGTCGGAGCACCCCAGGTTTCAGGTTCACAAGATGCCTCCGGTGTTGCCGCATCGCAAGGGAATGCTTTTCCAAGTGCTATCCCCGACCCTCCGTGTGGTCCTGTTCAAAATTCAGGACTCGGTCACGATGCCCCAGCTGATTCAAGGGACCCTGTTGGGGTTGCTACAAGTCAACATCCCGTTGGTCATCCGGCATTGCTAGGAGCAGCGTCCTCTGGGAGACGCAGCCCCCGGCACGTCAAGGGCTAGCGGTTTGGATAGAGACGGCACAAGGGATCAAAAAGATGTGAGAGTGCAAGTGACGGCTCTAGCGGAAATGGTTCAGCAGCTTTCCCAATTGGTTGCTAATCAAGTGGCTCCGCCACCTCCGCCTCCGGCCGCAATCACAATGTTGGGAGGGTTGTACTCATCATCCCCACAAGCGCCATCGGCCGCAAGCTCCGACTCATCATCAGACTCCGATGGAGATGACGATGCTCCGCAATGTCGAGTTTGCGGCGGCAGTCATGAAGACACGGAATGCCCATACCTCACCATGAATGGTGGTGGGGGAGGCGGGGGAGGCCCTGGCCAGTTCCCCAATGCAAACCCGTCTCAAGCTGCCGATCCCAGTGTAGGCATGACCGCCGTAGATCACGCCGCATATGAGGGGTCCGTTGTCCGTGTCAAGGATCTCAAGGATCTTGTACTACCATCCCTCCGGAGAACGCGGGTCAGGCTAGAGGCTTCGTCAACCAAGTTTTGATGGCCATCGGTCGACTCCAAAAGACCCCCGGAGACGAAGTATACCAGCGGGCCCAAGCATGCATGTCCTCCTCTGAGCAGGAGCTCATCGCGGACAAGCGCTTCCCGCCTAGATCGTGAAGTAGCCGCAAAGCTCCTTAAAACCTGCCGCAAAGGTAAGTTCGGGCTCTTGTTTCAGAACATGGTTGAACAAGAGAGAATCTCGTGAGGTGGGATGCCCGTAGGGAGAATCATGTCGCGTGCCATCTTCAAGCATTTCCAGTTGGAACGAGGTAGGATCGGAAC